GTGGGGAGGTGTCACTAAGGCAATCTTGTCAAAGCAATTTTCTAAAGCCACGACTTTAAAGCAGGAGCTCGAAGAAGCGCAACGCGAAAAGGCTCGCCAACGTGAACAGAAAAACGAGACTTGGAAACCCGTTTTCTTCGAGCAGGTCACCGGAAATGGCGGCAAGCCTGACCTCACGGATAAGGGACGTGAAGTCCTAGAGAGGGCGCAAAGGGCAGACTGGAGCCTGGACGGTATTGTAGCATGACGGATAGACCAAGATCAGGTCTCGATATAAGCATGGTCGGTAGACAATCATATGTAATCCCGCAGCTTAGATGAGCCGCGCGGTATGGAGGAGCGTGTCATTGCTTACATTCGCTTTACGAGTGGAAGACTAGCATTGTCGTGGTATAAGGAGTTCTTTTTCGCATTAAATCCGACATAGCCCAGCATTAGGGCATATATAAACGTACATTACGCTGGAACAGGCGTTCCGAGGATAGAGGTATGAGGATGATGGATACATTTAGCCCTGGTTTTCTCTCACCAGTACCACATTTTTATGATCAGAAACCGATAGCAACTACTTACTCATGCAACGTCCTCATTTGAAATACAATCGTCAATCTTAGACTCCTTCAGACAGATAGATGTTTGTGAGCATGCATTCATATCATCCTTGTGCGGGTGAAATTGAACGAAGTACTGTCGATTTCGTTTCTACTACAACTTGGTGGAGTATGAATAACTACTGCGCATCATCGTTGCAAACAACCCCTGATGTATCAGAAGTGTTTGTATATATGCAAGCCGTTCCAATCCTAACACAGTACCATAGCCACGTCCATCATCTCTGAGCAACTTTTCAACTCCAGAAATGCAACGCATATGCAACATCAATCAACACGCGAGCCATTACATCGGGTTTCCTTCATCCATAATGCCAAGTCCAACCACACTGCTCTCTTCACTTCGTGTTGTTCGTATCGCACCTTCCTGAGCCCTCTGACGTGCTTGGTCGACGTTCACTGGAATTTCGCCAAACTCGATAACTCTGCCGTCTGCCAGTCTGATCCCTCCAGACCCAGATCGAGCCATGTCCTGACTTCCCTGGCCACCCTCAAATGCCCTACTATCCAATTCCGGACTTCTCTGTGGTGTTGCGAACCCTCTTGAGCGTACACCTGCGCTTGGAGACTGCGACTGAGACCTACCCCGAAACGCAGGGCCTCCACGACCTCCACGTCGCGGTGCAGAAAGAGGAGGTTGATTGCTGCTAGCGAAGAGGCTGCCAGAATCTGCTCTGGGTCGACGGGCGTGTGCCTCCTCCCAGCGATGGTAAGAGGTGTCTACGTCTGGGAAAGCTGCTTCTCGTCGCGGGCTAGGCTCTGTCTCGACTAGAGATGGACGTCTCCCACGTATAGAAATGGGACGATGACGAGGAGGTCCCGCAGTTACAGGACTCCCTGCAAGAGGGCTGGAGTGATGAGATGTCTGCGCACCAGTGGCCAAGTTCCCCGATCCGGTGGAGTGAGCATTGTTGGAGGAAGATGGGTTGCTTGATTGATGGCTTGGATCTCGCGACATAGGCTGAGATGTGTAGCCATCTGGGGCTGGCATCCAGCTGCCATTTGGTGGATAGACATTTACACTATAAGGTTGACGAATTGACGGATAAGACATAGCCATCGGCTCCTCACTCAGGTTGGAAGAGTCGATTCGACTAAGGCCAGGGTGGTAGACGTTCGTCTCCCAATGCTGAATGGCCGCCGGGGGACTTTGATGTAATGTGCTCGTTGTGTTGGACTCGACTGGGAGCCCGGGTGGATAGAAGGGTCCTGACCCCTGTGCAGGACTGGATCGAGCTGAGCGAGAACCTTGGAACATCGACCCTGCATCAATATTGGGTGATGTCTGTGATGGCTGGTCTCCCGGACCCGGGGTGCCTGCTGGCGATATAACAGACTGCGCACTCTCGCCCTGTGTCTTGCCTTTTGTCGGATTGAAGTTCTCCTTCAGACGCTCGATTGTAGCTGAGGTCCAGCTCGAGGTGGCTGATGTCACTTTCGCAAATCCACTTGAAAATTCTCCCGGTGAATTTGCGTATCCTTCATTCTCGGCTTGTCCAGAGGCAGCAGCAGCATAGCTGTTTCTGCCAATCAGCAACAATGGCCTGGTACCAGTTTCTGAGCTGTAGCTTCTGCCTTTGTCCTGGATGTTACCACCTCCTCTTGCATTTGGTGGTGATATCTTCCTGATCTTATTGAGAGCCAGTTCCGCATCGCTAGTAGCTGTCAAATTTCCCCTACCCGATGAGCTGGAATTGCTCCGTATGTGAACAATGGAGCCTCGAGCAATTTCTCGACTCATACTGACACGAGGATCTCCCACACTTTGATCTCTCCAAGCGCCAGCCCGGTCATGATAGCGACGCTGCTCGATCTTCTTAACCGTTCTATGATTGGGACCGACCACCTTCCATTCGTTTTTGTCATTGGTAGGTTGGTCCATATCCTTGCTACGGTTCGGAGTTGGTAGGATGACTGTTCTATCATCATCATCGCCTTGGCCAGGGCCCTCCGGCATCGTCGCATTGCTGGGATATGGGACTGGAACGTGCCAATGGTATGGATTATAATGCTCCGGTGCATACGTCGCAGGAGATTGGTACAGTGTGTTATTGTCGCTCTCATGCTGGATCCAATGGTCTCTCTCGGTCATGCTATGGCTGCTTGGCGTTGCTGAATCCGATTCAGATAAGCTGTTAGCTCTCTCAAAGACTGAGGTTTTTGTCACACCGTCTCCTGACCTGTCGACTATCTGTTTTTGAATACTATGCGACAATGTATGAATGGAATCCTGGATTTGAGCAAGCCGTTGCTCAATGGATTTTTTTGGAGACGCCAGTTCCGGTGTTTTCTTCTCAAAGCGATTGACATGTTCTAGTAGACGCCTTCCATGTATGGCAAAACGGCGATAGTCGTCGGGAAGCCCAATCTTTGCATCTTCCTTGATGCGCTTGTCAGCTTCATCGAAGGATCGACAGAAAACTGCTACAGCTCTCTCTAGCCAGAAATCGTGCTGCTTCTCTTCCTTCAGCGACTCGATGAAGAATGCTTGCACAACACTGTGGATGCGCAGCAGGTCTAATGCATCGGACGGGATGTCGAGGCTTTTCTTAGAGCTCCTGGAGCTGGTAGGAGAGATATCATCGCTTTCCGTGCGTTCCACCAGCGCGAACGCAATTAAAATCTCCAGTGTGTTGGTTAAGCTTGGTTTTCGATGTGAAGCATCGCACGTTTTGTAAGGTGTTCTCTTGTCAAGAGCATGCAGTCCTGCATAACAGTGAGTATTTACTCCCAATGAACAAGCCAGCTCGGAGAGACGTACCTAGAAGGATCATTTCCACAGGGATTTGCTGGTCGAAGAAAACCAATATGGACATCAAGTTCAGGGCAGCTATAGCACCTCGATGCTGTAGCTGGTCCCACACGGCTCGATACGCTGGCAAGCTGCCAACCTTCGGCCGATTCTGATAGGATCTGAGGTATCTTGCCAAAGGCTCTCTGGTAGCTTTCAAATGCTGAGCGGTTACGTGAATCATTAGGGGAAGGCGTCCCATTAGCTGTACTAGCTCCAGTGCTCGGCTTCGGTCGTCATGCGTCCATGGCTTCTTCTTCTCCATCTCCATCAATAACAGATCTTGTGCCTCTTGCGCACTAAGTAATGACAATTCCATGATCTGGGGGTTGTCAAATCGAGGATCACCGCTAGCAGTGCGCTCAGTAGATGTGAAGATCATGCTGGTGTTTTGCGCGTCCGGTATGAATTTTTCCACACCGGGGGTATCAAACAGAATACCATCCAAGACCAAAAGCCAGTCCTCGAAGCTGTTAAGCCATTTTCGTACAATTTCGACAATCTTTTGAGGGTTCCGAAGTTCCTCGAAATCCTTCTCAAGATCTTCATCTTCGACAAGATCTCGCAAGGCTTCGTGTTTTGCAATGCGCCAGTACCAATACTCCATTTCTTGGATTGACTTGGCGCGTACCCAGTATATGCCTCCAGGGTACTCTGCCTTGTGATGAAACACATACTGCCGTGCTAAATGAGTCTTGCCACCACCCGGCAGACATTGGATCAATACTGCAGATGTGCCCTCCGAGCGACGTTTACGATCCATAAGCATCTTATGAAGGTCCTTGAGTTCATCTTCGCGGCCGATGAAGAAAGAATTTGGTCGAAAGGGTTCTGGATGAATGAACAAAGGATCCGAGGGTTGAGACTCTATGACTAATTGAGAATCTTGATTTGACGGCTTCGGGAGTAGTGGAACAGGAGATGGTGCGCTGAGATCTGGTGAGAGCACGATTGGCACGGGATTATCGCTATTGCGCGTCACTGTAGGAGGAGAAGAGAAAAAAGTTAGCAAAAATCGCTCACAAGCTGTAGTCATGTCTCTTCAATGTCATCGACCTCGAGCACGATGCGGGTTGGCTCAGAAGATGTATGACAGCTGGGAAAAGACCCCATGTACCGGAGACATACCTAATGCTACCGAATCTTGTCCGCCAGATTGTGTAAGCTATAATCCAGGTTGTTAGCCACCTTTTCAACACCTATTGCTATCCCGGCTGCATATAGAATCACCGAATGAGGGTTTCAAGATTAACTTACAAAGGGTCTAATTCTCTCCTCAATCTCCTGTTTCGCGCGAACGAGTCGATCTTCGTCTTCGACTCGCCAGCGAATTGCAATTACTGTTGGAGCCTCGCGAACCCAGTCGCGGATTGCTGTTGAGACGGTACGATAACCTGGGGCAGTAGCACTTTCGAATTTGCACATGCCGGAGTGCGTAGCCTCAATGCCGTAATAGATCACACCAGGAAGTTGAGGGCTTGCGGATATCGAATCAACAACATATACTCTGTTTCATGGTTAGCTTCCAAGACACCGAAGTAGTTCTGTCAAAAGGAGCAACGGCGGACCAGAAGACTAGGATGTTGGGGGTAGAGCACTCACTTTGATCCTTTGATGTCTGTCTTGTGATTCTCATGGGCCATGTGAATCCTGAAACGCTGGTAAATGTCGAGGAAATGGTTGTTGATGTTCTGAAGTGTCTCGTTGTCTTTCTTCAGAGTCTTGAGCAAGACTGGTTCTGACTCGAAGATCTTCTTTGGAATGATCACATCAGACATAGACTGGAGCATATGACCCCATGTTGCTAGACCGGAGCCGGTGTGTGGTGTTCCGAGGAATATGATACCGAAAGTAGATACATATATGGAACGGTAATCCTCATGTTGGCTGACTCGGACATCGTTGGAGTACTCGAGTGCTCGTTTAAGGAGTATACCGCCAAGACTGTGAGCCACCCATATGATAGGATTACGAGTAGAGTCTTCGCTTTTTCTGTAAGAAGTCAATGATGTGATTAAAGTCTGAGCATGGTGAAAGATGAAATTGTCGCTCGCGCTCCTAGAACTCATGGTCAGCCAATCGCCTAAGTCTCTGGAGAAGAGGTAGCGCATACTTATCATTACGAGACGAGTATACATCAGCGTTATATCCATAGACAAGAACATTGGCATGTGCGTCCTTCAGAGAGTCAGGGAGGAGGTCGGTTGGCCAAAAGATGCCATTCTTTGCAGTCCACGTCTTCTGCGGCTCGCCATTCAGACCGTGGATGAGAACAATGTCCACCCTTGCCTCGGGATGAGTATACACGGCCGTGCACTCGAACCGAGATATTTGCTTGTTGATGGATCCCTAGATTCGCCCAAGGGGACGGAGTGTCAGCAAAATGCCATAACCAACCAATCTTCTATGCAGGGGCCGGGTCCTATTCGAGAACAACAGAGTTAGGGAGACGCCGCGCGGGAGCGGCCCGCGCCTGCAGGAGACAAGGCCATCACCGCTGCCGGTAAGCAAAACATCTCCTCAACAACCTGAGGGGTCATTGACACTATCTGAAGAGGGTGTGCCAAGAGAAAACGGGACCAAACGAAAATAGAATAATGATATATGCACTTACCATGTTTGGCTGCTAGGGACGGGGTTGTGTCGACCTTGACAGTATTGTTGACCATGAGGAGTTGGTTGGGCCAGGATTTGGCAGGCTGGCAAGCTTGTTGGGGAGAAGAAAGAGATTGATGAAACAGCTGTCGAAAATTTCCCTGAAATATTGCTCCAGGTATCCCGCCTGATGATAGATTTGGCCTTTGCCCGGAGGGCTCTCAGCTGTGTCGTGAAGTGTTGTCGTCAATCAAAAGACCGACATTCGTTCCCGCTCTTTCAATTATTGCCACCTGGGCTTTCGAGTTGTTAGCCCTGAATATGCCCGGAGAAACAGGAAGATGCCAGCTAAACGAATGAAAGGACAAGCTTCTCATCTGCCTGGGCGGCGAATCATGGCCAAGGATGTACCTGTCAAGGGTCGGTATGTATGTGTCGGTCAGAGGCAGACAGACAGATATATGAATGGATATTGGTGCAAGTTCAGCGGAGAGACCGAGAACCAACAACAGAGGAAATGCTTTGTATGGAATGAGACGGAAACCCGAATAGATTCTGCAGCCGCATTCACCCAGTTGGAAGTCTAAAGAGACCTGGAGTTATGGATACCAGAGCACCACGGCCGCACTGGACTGGACCTGGACAGGAGGGAAAGGGCGAGCTGGTTCAGGAGAAAGTGTTTTGTCACAAGGCACACGTTTTGTGACGCTACGGCCCACGAGCTTGGCCCTGCTGAGCCCCCAATGAGACGTCTATGGACAGGGGCTGCATGCACTAATATCATACCGAAGACCCCTCGATGTATGGCCGGGGTAAGCTGTCAGCGTCATTGGAGAAATAACACACTCAAACGGGCCATTTACAGCTTCCCCCTTGTCCACTACATACATAGTAGAGAAGCCTTGCGCTAGGAAGCTGAGCTGTCTCTGGCGTTGGGCGTCAGTGCTTAGGTAGTTCTGGGTAGCTTTAAACTCAATGTAGGTGGGAGACTGTGCAAATTCGGCTTGATGTTTGGTATTAAACTACACTACCTAGGAATGTAGACTCTTCAGCTGTTGTGCCACTGCATGCATCTGAAAGCTAAACCCTCCACTGTGCACTTGACCGTTCCGAGCCTCACAAATGAGAGACTGCGGTCGCTGGTGGGTTTCGTATCGAAGATTTTTGTTCTGTTTTGCATGCTGAGCGGTGTCAACAACCCCTGGTTTCTGGGGAGGTCAGCCAGGTCGGTAACGAGGGACCTCACTCCATCTGCTGCGCAACAGTGCTACAAAGGATTATTTAGTCTTCCGTCTCAGCCGCGTGGGATGGCAGTGATGGTGGCTTGCAGGGGACCACTCGGGTGTCGCGGGGAATCCCAGCAGAGCAGCAGGCCCACGACCAGTCTCCCTGTCTAATTATTATTTGATCGCTCAGTCAATTTCTGGGTTTCTGTGAGACGCCGAGGTCTCAAAGCAGCTGCTGCCATCGCTGATCAGCCGCTCGACATCCTCGCCTCGAGAGGCATTAGGCCAGGAAACTCCAGGACGGGTGGAATCTAGGCGATTCTTCTATCAGATCTCGCGGCACTGAAGAACTGTGCGCGTTGCATCTCCCCGCTACTAAGAGGGAATATGGTGGTGGTGACTGATCCTGGCAGGTGACCGTTGTGCATGGTCAACATGGGAACACCCGCCTCTCTCTTGACACATGACGCGCAACGTCCCGAGAAAGCTTAAGTAGCTTCTAGTCTATTGCTGGTGCCTACCATGACACATCTAGGGTCACTGTTTCGTTTGCCTGGTCAACTAAACTCAAATGATTTTGTCTCTGAAAACTCAGGCATGGCCCTGTTATTAGAGAACTTGTGAGTCAACGCCGAATGCTGCTGATCTGAAGTCGTCACTAGCATTTACAACTGCAAGGAGCGGAATTTCACCATCGCAGAGTCCAAGAAAGAGGACATAACAATGCTGCCAAGATTGATGGGCGTGACCAATACTGTGGGAAGTTAGGCGGCCGCCGAATGCTCGTTGACAAGCCAAGATAACCATGATGATATAGCAGCCTACTCCCTCACTATTCGTGAGAAGAACCCAGCTGATATCAGATAATGATGTAATTAGGAGGACAGTCCTCTCAAAATACTGCCACTCTTCATGAGGTATTGATATATTCAGGCGTATTAACTCTGATGCTTGCGAGATCAGCTCGACCGTGAGTTAAGCCATCGCCGAGTCAACAACTACCTTGCCTGTTGGCTTGAGCTTTGACTAGGACTGTTCTCAAACAAGTCGAGTTCAACGGCGCAGCGTTAACACCGAGAATGAGACTGCTGTTCCAATTCCAGGCCAGGCCTCGGCCACAAGCCTATCAACCACTTAGTCCCTGGGGGCCAGCATTAACACATATTCCCGTGTTGAATGCCCGAATTGGATCATATCCTTATCTCTCAGCTCCAGATACCTACTGTCTGGGACCTTCTCCTTGTTGAGCTTTGTGCCATTTGCGCTTTCGAGATCGATCAAGTAGGGCTTGACCCGTCCTATCTTGTCGCCAAACTCGTTCCTCTTCTCAGTGTACCGAAACTGAATCACTGCGTGCTGCTTGCTGATGCTTGGGTGCTCGGCGGGCAAGTCCACAACTGCCGTTTCTCTTCCGACCAGCCAGCAACTTCGATTGTTCAGGTCTATCGTGTCGACGATGTCCGAGCCTTTGAACACAAATAACTTCCATTGGTCCTTCGGGGCTGGTTTGCGTGCTTCGGGAGGTTCATGGTATTTTAACGTGATGGACGAGCCATCTGCCTGAACGACAGAATTTGATGCAGCAGCAAGAGCTCCGGTGATTCCAAAGTTTGGTTTCTCTTTAGGCTTCTCTGGTACCTCTCCTTTAGTTATGGCAAACGAATCGGCTTGTGACGGTAGTGGTCCGCCTCGCCGGACAGCAGGGCGATCCTCGTCTTCTGACGTTCTGTCTTTTCTTCTTCTGCGCGCCCTGTCCTCGTCCGGCGATCGCCTTCGCCGCCGCTCCTTGTAATAACTGTCGGAATCATCCTTGCGCTCTCTTTCGTTGCGTGCTGTATATTCATCGGAAAGATCTTCTCGGCGCCTCTCACGCGCTCTGTCCCGTGAACGGTGTTTCCTGGGACTTCGTGATCTTCGTCGAGGCCTCTCTCGCGATCGATCACGTTTGCTCGGTCGATCCAATTCGTCACCAGGGTAGTGTTTCCTTTCGCGACTATAGCTGTCGTCTTCATCGTCAAGCTTGCGCCGGCGAGCGCGATGGCCGTCCAGCGAATCGTCCGACCCCATTCTAGACATTCCGTAATCACTGTTCACCTCGACCAGTTTGAAGGTCCCAATCCCCTCTTGAGCGATCGATCCACCGTTCCGGTCTCGTCGGGAATTGTTGGAATGCAGAATGCGCAAACTTGGCTGAGTAAATTGAGAAACGTGAAGAGACCTGAATTGATGCGCAAGAGCAAAATTGGGGTGGATACTCGAGCCATCTGCCCACCTAATTTAGGACATGTCAGCACCAATCCACTGCAATCTGGCTGGTAGGTACGCGGCACCATGTAATACCTGCCCTCGTAGGCAGTATGCGCCTGAATCGACCTCCAAGATCACGATTAACAACTTCCTACCAGGGATAGAATTCCCCAAGTCCAATTATCGTCATGGGTTGGCTGGGCTCTGGATTTTAGTCTAAATGGTTCCTATTGCAGAGCAGGTTCAATACAAATATCCATCATGAGCAGCAATGCCATGCGCTTCATGCTCTAGCCGCTTAATCACTCTCATCATCACGCAAGGCTAAACTCTGGGATCTCTCCCATTTCTGTTTTCATCTCTCCACCGACTTTGTAGGCTACCCTCCACCGTAGCTTGATAGACTCGACTTTCTTGCCTTTATCCCCAGCGTGCCATACCTCAATAGCTTGGGTGACACCTCGGCTTTGCTTGGGTTCTAGATTCCGCCCCGATTGTGGTTTCAGCTGCAACTCATATCCCTTTGTGACAAGCATACATTAGCACATCGCTCGTGTGGACATATTTGGGTCATGTCAGATCAGTTCTTACCTTGGTGACAGCCAACTGAAAGTGAAGCTCCGATACTGACTGAGCTGTGTTGTTTGTAAACGCAAATAACAGGCTTAGATTGTTTGCCGATGCCGTTATCCTGTTTGCAAGCATATCGATCTTCAAATTCGTATTGCTTACTACAGTTTTGTGCTCTCTTGGCAGTGCTGGTACCTCACTGGGTAGAGCTGACGAGAAGGACCATTCATCATCATCATTTGTTGCAGTGGGTTGAGCTGGGATCGGCGTGGCCGGTTTAGAGCTGAACGAGGGCGAGGCAAGGGCAGCAAATGGGTCTGCTGCTGGCTTCGACGGGACCGAGAAAGCAGACTGCTGATACTGTGGGGGCTGTGGTGTGTTGCTTTGAGATCCTGACGGCGCCGAGGTGAATGCGGAGAATGGGGAAAAGGACGGTGGTGTTGGTGCTGATGCCGGCCCCTTCGCGCTGCTATTTTGGGTCATAGATGACAACAAAGCCGGTCCAGGAATATCTGCAAACTGTAAGTCGCTATAGGTAATGTGATGAGCAAATGCACTACTCACTGGTATTGGCCCCGAATCCCAGAGCAATGCCTCCTGTCTGGCCGAAATTGCTACTGTCGCCAATGGAAAGCCCAAGAAGGTCGTTCTCGAGACCGCCAGCTTGCGGATTTGATTGAGAGGCACTGCTTGTGCCATTCGCTTCGGCATCAGCATCAAAGTCAATAAGAGATAGCTCGTTTGCTGAGCTCGTCCCAGCATCCCCAGCACTGCTCTGCGGGACATGTTCACCTCGAGCAACCTTAGCAGCTGCTTCTAGATCGCCCTTCTTCATCAGCTTGTACCTCTCCACGGTCCGATGTATACTGTCATTGATCTCCAACAATTTTGCAACAGCTTCGTGGTCGTCTGACTCTTCCTCGCACATCTTTTGGATCTTGGGCTGCGCACTCTGCAGTGCCGAAGCAAGCTCTTGAAAGACATCACCGTCTTTCATCGTGTCCCCTGGTTTGAACGATTCCAGTCTTTCCTCCAGAAGTCTGGCTTTTGCTTGGATCTTGGAGACTTCCTCCGCAGCCTTGGCACGGTAGTCGACTTTTGTTCTCGTGTCATAGCCCGCCATGATCTTCATCAATCGATTTGCTTCCTGCAGATCCTCGGGTGCCCCTCTTCGAATAAGCTCCTGCAGCTTCGCCGACTGCGCTTCCCGCTCTTCCTCCTCCATTTCTTCAGCTGATTTTAGATTCTAAAGCTGTTAGTTTGCAATTGAACGAGGCGATGAGCTGCCGAGCAACCTACATCACTGGGGTTGAGGACGGCGGCATCGTCTCTTCTGACTTCGGGGAATGTGTAGCCCTTGTAGCTCAGCAAACGGTGCATATCCCGTATGAAGCCTAGATCTTCCTTGTACCGGCTTGTCTCGCAGATTGTACTCCGCCACTCCTCTATCGCCTCGAGGATCTTCATCTGCACCCTGGTTGGGCGGATGGGGGGCCGCTCTGGAAACCGACGGACGAGCTCATTGAGGAACTCCTTGGTGGCTATTTGCAGATGAAAAGGGTATCCGCAGTTCTTGACGCAGATGTCCAGCAGGTTGAGGGCCAGCAATGCGACGTTTGGGTTGCGGTGGTTCACGTAGTTGACAATGGCCACGCCGGCCTCGCGCGGGGCGGAGCCCTTCTTAGAATTGATCAGGTCGGCGATCTCGAGATTCAGCGCAAGGTTGGGCTCGTAGTTCTCGGGGCTGCAAGCAGCCTGGATGAAGCGCTGGAGTTGCGAGGGGGCATGAGCACCGCCCATTGTCCCCCACTGGTCTCTGGCGGCGGCGCGCGCAGATGCCGCCTCCATCGTCGTGGATGCTGAGCCGCTCTTGCGGGGGAGAAGCTGAGGTTGTCTGCCGTCGCCGGGCTGCCTCCGTCTTGAGTGTCGCGATTACGGCCAGCAGAGATTTGAGAGGGCCGGGTTCGTGCAGGCTGATGAGAGTTGCGAACGAAGCTTCGTAAGGTTCCTGAGGCGATACGAAGTGATGCGCCTTTCTGGCCACGCAACGCAGCGGTTTATTTGGGTGAGGTGGGAATTATTAGCACCAAGCCTGGTGAGCTCTGCCTACCTAGGTAGTCTTAGCAGCCTATCGCACTCTAGAGACAATAAATCCGTGTGCTTGAGGGGCTAACGATCAGGTAGGCGGTAGCTAGGTACGTTGGTAGGCTCCTAGCAGGGGTCGACAGGGGCGTCGTCTCCTCACTAATCTCACCTGGTCCCGGGCCTTGCTAACCTTGGAAGTGACTGTTGACCTTATCTTATCACAGTTGGTGGGGTGGCGGCAAACAATCGAATTCTTGCGCCCATCTCGACAAGACGACACTTCGCCCAAAAGCTACACAAATCCAAAGCGCCGCCAGAGACACCACTAAAGAGATGGTCCGACACAAGAAGGATGGCTTTTCCTCAAGAGGGAAGAAGAACTATGGCGGGCCACCACGTTCAAGGGGCCAAGGACCCTCTGCGGACTCCGACAATGTCACCCCGCGCCCCTCGTACAAAGCCGCCTGCTGGGATCTAGGCCATTGCGACCCAAAGCGATGCTCGGGTAAGAAGCTGATGAAACTAGGCATGATGCGCGAGCTTCATGTTGGCCAGAGACACAACGGCGTCATCATAACACCAAATGGGAAACGGGTGCTGTCCCCGGCTGATCGGGAACTCATGGACCAGTATGGAGCCGCCGTCGTGGAGTGCTCCTGGGCGAGGATGAAGGAAATACAATGGGCCAAAGTGGGAGGCAAGTGTGAGAGGCTGCTGCCCTACCTTGTAGCTGCGAACACTGTCAACTACGGGAAGCCGTGGCGCCTGAACTGCGTCGAGGCTCTTGCCGCTGCGTTCTACATTTGTGGACACCCGGATTGGGCCGAGCAGGTCCTTGCACCATTCTCCTATGGAAGTGCCTTCCTCGAGATCAATTCAAGCTTGCTCAAGAAGTATGCAGCATGTGAGGATGACAAGGCAATCAAGAAGACAGAAGAAGAATGGATGGAGAGATTAGAGAAGGAGTATGCGGAGAGTCGTGAGGAGGGATCAGATTCAGACCTGTGGAAAGGGGGCAATGTTAATCGCCGCCCAGTCCCCGATTCCGATGATGACGAGAAGGAGGAGGATGATGATGACGATGAAAATAGCCAGGACGGCGAGGACGGCCAAGAGAACGGCGACGACGACGACGACGCTAGTGTGGATGGAATATACCTCGGCAAGAAACCGCAACCAAAAGAGGATGAGGTAGAGGAGAAGGATTCATATGCGATATCGGACGACAGTGATGATGATGCGGAAATGGAGGAAATACGCAGAAAGGTTCTCGCCTCAAAGCCTTTCTCGAATCCATCAGACTCAGACCAGAAGAAGGCGCCAGAAACTATACCCCGACCGCAGCATCTCCAGGTCGACTCAGATATTGAAGCTGATTCGGATAATGGCTCAGAGGAGGACAACGATTTTGATAATATAATGAACGCTCAACCCGTTACTGACAGAATTGGACTGGCTAGGCTTGAGAAGGAGAGAGCACGAGCCACAACTAATACTCGGACATTCATGTCAGCATCGTTGACAGCCCCAAAGAAGGGCTAGACTCGTCTACGCAGATAGAAATTCATTGCTGAAACGTGCCTTGAAGAGGCTGTACAATTAATCTTACATTTGTAACATTTACAAGAGAGGTGTATCAACAAGTATGTACAGGTAGATCACAATTGGATCTGTCTATCGCCTTTAGTTGCCGTCTTTCGAATGCCAGGCTTTGGTTGATTATAATCTACAAATGCCGTTTCTCCTGTGTCTCTTCATACGCTTGAATTTGATCGCCCTGTCGAATATCATCCCAGCCTTCGAATGAAATTCCACATTCCGATCCTTTCTTCATCTCATCAACATCCTTCTTGCCATGCTTCAGTGAGTCCAAAGACCCTGTATCATGTTAGCAGGGGCCTTGACATTTTCAATTGAGTGTGTAATTTTACCTTGGAAGACATTCTCCCCACTCCGCAGTACGCGGTATTTCGCGGTCCTGCTTATCTGACCGTTACGCACCCTGCATCCGGCAATATTCTTGAACACCCGCCCCTTCAGGTTGATAGGGAAGACCTGCAAGACCTCTGCCTCGCCAACAACCCTGGTAGAGATTAATGGTGGTAACAAGTCGGATAACCTGTCCTTCACCTCATCCGTGAGATGGTAAATAACATTATAGTCAAGGATCTTGACCCCGGCGTCCTTTGCTCTCTGCTTGATAAACCCTGCAATAGGGTTGTTGAAGCTGATGATCATGCCCTTGGATGTAGCCGCATGATCGACGTCTGACTCGGTGACCTGGCCGGCTGATGATCGCAGAACTCTTGGTCGAACCTCATTACTGCCAATTTCCATAATCGCAGCACACACAGCCTCTACAGAACCCACGACATCGCCTTTGACGATGAAGTTGACGATCTTCGTGCCAGACTCCTCAGGCTCTGGCGTATCCTCCGTGTTCTCCTTTTCAGCCTTCTCTCGCTCCTGTTGTTCTTGTGCAGCTTTAGTAGCAACAGCACTCTCGCGGTCCCGGATTTCTTCGCGGTAATGTGTCGCTATCTTTGCCTTCGACTCATCCGGCGCTTGAATGACTTCGTCGCCTGCAATAGGGTCTCCTCTCCAACCCAAAATTTCCACTGCCGTCCCTGGTGCTGCTTCTTCAATGTCCACGCCGGCCTCATTTCGGATGACTCGAACCTTTGCCCAAGTTGTACCTGCCACAATGTAATCACCTATTCGCAGAGTTCCACGCTTCACAAGGACAGTTGCTACCTTGCCGATTGGCTTGATGCTGGCCTCGAGAATCCACCCCTCCGCCATTCCGTCAGTCTCAGCCCGGACGTCTAAAATTTCGGATAGAGTAAGGATGTTCTCCTCCAAATCGTTCATTCCTTCGCCGGTCTTACCACTGACACAGACGACTTGAACATCACCACCAAAATCCTCTATTTCAATTCCATGGCGTGCTAGATCTGCCTTGACGTGGTCGACGCGGGCCTCATCCTTGTCTATCTTGTTGATTGCGACAATGATCGGAACTTTGGCAGCTCGCGCATGCTTCAGGGCTTCTAACGTCTGGGGTTTGACGCTGTCATCGGCTGCAACAACCAAAATGACGATGTCCGTGACATTTGCTCCTCGCTGGCGCATGGTCAGGAAGGCCGCGTGGCCGGGCGTGTCAAGGAAGGTGATCTGCTTCCCTGTGGAGAGCCTGACAGAGAATGCACCAATATGCTGCGTGATGCCACCATGCTCTTGGGCAGCAACAGAAGACTTGCGAAGCCAATCTAGCATGGTGGTCTTACCGTGGTCAACATGACCCATAATAGTCACAATGGGAGGTCGAGGAGGCAACGAGGAGAGGTCTGACGGCGGCGGGCGAGGCTTCAGGTCAACATCATCTCCCGTGTTCACCGTTGGGTCGAATCCATATTCACCAGCGACAAGCGCTGCTGTCTCTCCCGTCATGATACTATCATAGCTGATGTTTTCGAAGCCGAGTTCGCCGAGTTGCTCGATAAAAAGTTCTGACTTGACCCCGAGCGCCCCGGCAAGATTAGAGACACTTATAAATTCAGGGAGTAGAATCGGCGTTGGACCTGCTTCCGCAAGTTCTCTTTCTTTCTCCGCTTGCTTCTCTTCTCTCCGCCGACGGCGCTCCTCTGCTCTGAGCCAACCCTCATCCTCATCTTCCTCGTCCTGCCCGTGCGAATTTCGTCTTTGAGGCCTCGCTTTTTTCTTGGGTTTCTCTGGGCGTTCTCTACCTCGACCTCTAGCTTCTATATTCGGGGTAGATGTGGCCGCCAGGAAAGTACGAGCTTTGGAACTTTGGCCGTCCTGCTCGATTTGCGTTACAGATTTTGTTCTGTCTACCCAGCTCTCGTTCTTGTCAATGCTCGAGGCTGTGCGTGTAGTTCTGCCAGGTTCAGCCCCAACTAGTCGACTTTGGAATTGATTCATGTATGCATCATCGTCCGCTTGCTCTGTCCCTGCTTTCTTCAATGCATTATCGCCAAGGATCCTTCTGCTAGGAGGATCTGGTCGTCGCCGTCCCTCTGCATTGCCTCGGTACCGGCCGAAGGAAGATTCTGTAGGAGAACCACTATTCCGTCGATTTAGCTGCCCCCATTCTTGTGAGACACTTGTTGAAGCACGACTAGAGTCCGCGGTACTGCGCATCAGCGGCTGGGAGGGAAGCCGCCGCTCATGTCCATCGCTTTTAGTAAATTGATGAGAGCCATCGTTATTCCGACTAGGAGGCAGACCTCCGGATCCATCATTTCCCCAATTTTCACGTCGGTTGTGAGACCGGTCTCGCCCTGCCCCTCTTTCCGCAGCATTTAAAGGAGTCCGCAGTGATCTATGAACATTCGGCGGCTCCTGAGGATCTTGCGACGTGCTCCCCGGGTGACTTGGCTGGCCGATCTTGCGAACACGAGATGTCCGTGCAGGCACTGTATTCTTCGGGAGAAAATGGCCAAGTCCGTAAGAGCTCTTGGATGGGAAGGCGGGTGCAGGGCTGTCTCGTCTCCGGGTCCATCCATTTTTGTCAGCGGCCCTTGTCGTACCTATATGAGTCCGGTCGAAGTTCGAGGACTGCTCAGTGGAAGCTTGACTGAGATTAAGACTCTGACCAACAGCCGCTGTGGGTTGTGTTGTAGATGCCTTCAGGCGAGCACGATCACGAGCTAATTTCTCATGTGGCAGTAGATTGCTACCGCCATCACCATCTGTTTTCGAGCCTGGGTTGACGCCGCTCGATGGACCCTGAGCTGCAGCGCCCCATCCTCCACCCCACGAGGATTTTGTTGGAATAGACCAAGACTGCTTGGAAGAGGTCTGAGGCCTAGTTGTCTGACCATTTGGAACCCCATCTTGAGAAGAGGGCCCGCTGTTGCTGTGAGCGCGCCGAACACCTGTACGATCACCCAAGACCTGTCGTGCCGATTTCCAAAGCGGAGTGGAATTAGCACGAGGTTTAAGCGGCGCCGTAGACAGAGGAGATGTTCGCAGTGAAGTAGTAGTATACTGGAGCGGCCGCGGTCGGAGGCCTTGTGCCAGAGCAAACCTATGGCGACACAGTAGGCAAACTGAGGAAGAGCCCTGCTTCTTGAGAGATCTTGTTAGTAGGTATGAACAATGCCATGCATTCCCAAATGTGGCTTACCTGCAGTTGATGCCTTGTCATCATCCTCGATCTAAGCAGCACACGTTCGCTGGGGGTGTGCCATGGAGAGTTTCCTTGCTGTCGCAGGCAAAGAACCGAATCGTTGAAGAGTGAATGCGCTCGCGAGAGCTTGAGCTTTTGAACCGCGACTCGGAACCCGATTGAAATTTTGGAGCGCGGCGACCGACTGGGTCCGGGACCCGACAGCCACTAAAACAGCCCTCCACAGGCAGTTCCCGGGGGGTCCCTTGAACTTCTCACTATAGGCGGCTTGACCCCTGCTAGATGCGATGCTCTACAAGGAAGAGCCATTCTGCATTTGGGTCAGGGCGTGCGTAAGGTGCCCAGCCTACAGTGATTTAGAGTGGTCAATTAGGTACGCAGTGCGCCACTCCCGTTTTCTCCGACCTCAATGATAGAAATCCTCATCGACACGGCAGACTTCTTTACCGCCACGGCCCGTAACCTACACAGTTAAGAGAGACCTGGAGTATTTGGGACAGAGCAGTCTGAGCTATTATAAGCCACCTCTCACATTGCGCAAAGCTCTATCTGCTCCTCTACGCTCAACATGGCACCGAAGAAAAGGACAGCAGTGAAGCCAAAGAGCGCAGTCTCGGGGACGCTCCCAATGCCATTCAAGAAGGCCCCAGAAGTCTTACAGCCTTTTCTGGATTCTCTTTCTGAAAAGCATGTCTACATTGCTCACGTGGATTTCAAGCCTTGGGAATTCAAAAGGAAGATATTCGCCGTGCCAGTTGCATTAAACCTGAGCATCGCCCTGCTGTTCGCCTGGCGCGTTTGGTATATCGGTCCGTATTATCTGGACCTTTTACTATCCTTCCTTGGATACGCCAACGAGACCACCGTCATTGCAGCCGAGACCCCTTGGAAGGAGCTTACATTCACTGTCCTTCGGCGAGCCTTTAGCTTCATGCTGGACTTTGTCCTGGCCATCTTCGTCTGGCCGTGGCCACTCGAGTTTGTCTTTAGCCAAACACATGGCAGCCCTGTCCGCTGGAGGTGGAACGTTGGCTTTAGAGACAGGGAAATCTACGTCAGGCGGAGCCGGAGCTGGGACCGTAACATCGGCGACGTGCTGGAAAACTCGGACGGTAGGAGCGTTCTCTTGTCATATGTCGGAGTGGCAACCTCCCCGATGCTGCTCAACGAGAAGACGGGATACCTCACGATAAACGGAGAGTGGGATCTTGACTGGGCTGCCATGGTTCATGCCACAACCTTGGTGGACAAGAACGTCATTGCACTAGACGCCTTCAAGACCCTAGTGTTGATACACAACAAGGAGTCTGGGTGGCTCTGTATCGATTTGAAGATGAGTGAAAATGCTCAGGACGATGAACGGAGGAGGCACGTGTTCGCTTTCCGCGATGCGCTTGCTGCTGTGGGTAAAGAGGATTTGTTCTTTCGCTGGATTGAGATTGTCCAGTTCGAATCATCACAGCCAGGGGGCTTCGGGGCAGAAAAGCAGATTGAGGTCGCTCAAAAGATCAGGGATCTATTTCAATCTAACGGTATAGACTTCGACGAATTCTGGAAAGAGAGCGTTGGCACGGATGGCATATATGGCATGTAAAACGGTGTAAATGGGTGTACGATAGGGAGCAGTGGTTTCAGACCTGCATTGTATTACGGAACCAGAATCTTGTTGCTCGCCTCCTGAGAGGGTTAGATGGATCTGGCCAGAGAGCCGGTCTAAGAGGCCAGTTGTAATCGAGGCAGCGATGAACCAGTCGACTTTATTCGCATCGCCGTTGATGGAAATCCAAGCGGCAGGTTTCTTGTATACAGCCCTGAGTCAGCTATGGCTCTTATTTCGCCTTCTTGCCCTTTCCTTTGCCTAACGCAGCATCTCTCTTCTTCGCCTCCTTTGCCTCTATTTCAGCCCTCTTGGCCTTCTCCTGGGCTTCGCGCTCTTCTTTCTCAGCCTGAAGGGGTTAGCAGGAGTCGAGCTACAATATACTCATATGCACCACGTACCTGCTTCCGGGCAGCCTCTGCCTCTCTCTTCTCACGGATGACTCTCAGCCGAGCCAAGTCGGCCTTGGCCTCGTCTGTCTTGCCCGCCTCATGGAGCTTACGGTATCTCTCCTTAGCCTGCGCTGCCTCGAGCGACTCTCGCTCGCGGCGGCTCTGGGGCTGCACATCCAAGGCCTTCACGCCTTCGGTTGCCTCGTCCACGTCCGTTGAAATGACAGTCTTGGTCTGGTTGCGGGCAGCCTTGGAGTGGTTGGGGTTGGCAGGCATGTCCTCGTCGCTGTCCTCCTCCTCCTCGGAATCGCTGGGAGGAAGGTCTCCGACTTGGACAGCCTGGGCCTTGGCTCTGGCGATGGCTGCCTCCTTGCGGGCCTTCTTCTCCTTCTTGCGATCCTCACGGCTGGCCGCACCACCCTGGGCACCAGACTGGCCGCCTTCCTCGTCAGAGTCTTCCTCATCAGAGTCCTCCTCCTCGTCCTCTTCAGAATCATCATCGTCGTCCTTCTTGGCACCGGCACTCCACATGCTGATCTCGTTGCCCTCGGAATCGACAGGTCGCAGGTCCCGAGAGAAGTGCTTTCCACCTATGGCAAAGGAAGTTTGTTAACACTTTTGAACGGCAGTAGGAGAGGGGTGATCTGGTGTTATTCTGACATACCACCACGGGTGAACTTCCTGAACTTGCCACCTCGGCCACGCGAGTTTGCTCCTGGACCGCCGCCTGCCATCTTGTTTCGTGGAGAGGGTTTTATTTCGTGGGTTTGGATTGTGGAAAAGGTGGTCTACGTGAGGAAGAAAGTGCGACGAGGATGAGGCAGAGAGGGCAAACAACCGCGAAAGGGTTTGAAGGTGGCCTGTGATTCACAAAGCTGCAGGAAAGAGGGGCATCTACTTTGCAGATAGACTGGGCAGAAACAAGCACACGAGATGGTTGAATCAGGGATCCAATCCTGCTGTGCCTAGGTAGAGAAGAGCACTGTCGGGGCTCACACTCAGTGCATTCTCGCATGGTGCCCCGCTAACCGCCCTATCCCATCCCACCTGGGCAGCTCATTCTTTTACCCCTCCATCGTGCTTCATCATGCAAGGATTTGTTTGGGGGCCGTCTTATTGGCTGGTGCAGACCCACCCACAATTATGGATGTGACCTGACTGGTTTCTGCCATTCTACTGTGTAAAGTACCTACCGAGTAGGAGACAGGAGCCTCTACGGAGATGGAGGAGCCTGATAGTTGACGGAACCAGTCTTAACCTTACCCTTCCGATGGCTCATGCAATTTGGAATAGCTCATTACTGATTTCAAATAGATATTGCTCAGAGACATTTAAGAAATCAATCTGTCAGGCCTCCTCTCTTTTCGCTTATCTACCTCGCTGCTTAGGCTGCACATGGGCCATTCTGGTCACCCCGTCGCGGGAATCCGGGTTTCCCCAGACGATGATTACCATACGAAGACCCCCGGATACATCGTCTAGTCCTCCTAAATTTGATACTAAACTGATGCATTCATTCCAATATAGAGAAAATAGCCCTTACCCATCCATGGTAATACATTGACGGGCCATGGTTTGAACGCAAGACCACGCGGGCGACATCCATATCAGCACCATACGGGGATGGATGCCGACTCACCCTCTTCTGCAGAGAGCAAGTCGTCCAGTTCTTCCACTCGTCTCAACGGAAGCTTCGATGCTGCCAGCTTCTGACCATCCTCCTTTCTCAGCACGCCCGTAAATACCACGCTGTACCCATTCGCGGCTTCAAAGTATATCTGGCTGCCAAGCAGCTCCACGTCCTCCTTGAAGATGAGCTTGGCCAGTGTTGCCCCTTCTTTTCCCTGCACAATCATGCAGTATATCAGCTTCCCCTGATGTTGGCGAAGTCGGTACGGGTCCAGCTGTGCAAAGACTTGGACTTGCGGAAACGGCAACGGTGATGGAGCGGCCACTACTGCTTTATCACCTGCTTTCACCCACATGTCCCTGGCTCCTACGCGAAGAAGCCAATCCCAGTTCAGTAGATCCGTGTCGGATGAAAAGCAGGACTCCAGGATGAGTGCGCCTCCCAGCTCGGGCATGCGGCATGGTTCCTGACGGGCAGAAAGACCATCGCGTCTGTTCTTGTCCAATCTACAATTTTTCAATATGTCATCTCCATGCCTGACATTGGTAATGCCTCCCATGTTGTGCGAGTGTGCTGCCGATATTCCCTTTGAGGAAAATTTCGAACGAAACAGAGGATAAATTGTAAGATGTAACAGAGGCTAGATGCCTTCACGATCAGAAGTTCTGAGTTACCACTCTTGTTTGCCTGATGGCATCTGCCTCCCTATTTATGTGGTTTCCACGAGCCTACATGTTACAATAGCCAGTAAATCATCGGATTGACACTTACGCGACCCGGGCGTAAGCCGCAGGTTTAGGCAGGATGCCGCTTCGTGATAGGTCCATTTCGAGTCCCAGGGGATCAACCTGCCCACCCAAAGCTATCTAATTCGCTGTCTTAGACTCTAGCCGAGTTCTTCGCCGGGCTTGGATGATGAGGCTCAGTTGCTAGCTTCTCTGCGCTTGTTTATAAAAGGTCATAGAGTTTCCATTCATTCGAATACAATCTTCCTCTCTAGATCTCAGGGCTCTGCCCAGTGCAGCCTCCAGTCCTTCCTTCTCTTCTCCTACCTTTGTTCTCATAATTTAGTCCCAGATTTCATCCTTCTTCACACAACTTGCCCTCCTGGTCAAGGGCCTCCATTAACCAGAGGAGGTCCGCCACAGTCTAATCAATTTCGAGACAACAGGAGTCTTTTACCTTCAGTCACGAACCAGATTATACTTCACCTTACGTCAATCCCCAAGAACTACTTCTAAGTAACGCAGAAGATCGTACCTTTCTAAACACTCAATTCCAACCATCACCACACACAACACAACATAACATAACATCACCACACAACCTAGGAACTGAGTATTTATCAGGCGATGCCTACGGCGGAAGCATAGAAGACCATTCTTTCGGAAAGTCTCGATCCCAGGAACCCTTCATCCCTTTCAACCTGACCCATTCTAACTCAAACAACACATCCTTCGACTATAACTGTTCTGATTTTATTGATTTTGACGATTTCAACTCGTCTGCCTCTCCTTCGAACCACACGCTTTATTCCTTAGATCCTGACCTGGAAACTGGAGCCTCGAAGCAAGACATCTCCGACGAAAGACCTGTTCCTAGCTCTGCTGGAACTTCTGACGCTGGTAGTCAGTTCCCTTGCCCATTCTGTAATAAGAGCTTCCCCAAACAGTGGAAACTTAAGTATGTACCTATTCTTTCTTCACTTCAATCCCCAGTCTATCTGGCCTCCACCTGAAGATTCCTGATGCTAATGTTTGGATAGCGATCATCTCAAGAATCACACAAAGAGCGAGGTTTGTTCGACTTGCTCGAAGACTTTTGCCACCCCTAAAGACTTGAGGAGACACAAACAACAAGTCCACAAGCAAGGTCAGAGGGAATACTACGTCTGCACCGCCAAGCCTTGCAAGAAAGCTAGCAGTGGACACGCCTATGACCGGAAGGACAACTTTCTGAGGCATATTAAGAGCAAACACCCGGATCTACCAAAGGAAGCCTTTGGCCTGTAATTTGTCATTTAAATTAGAAGGACGTTTCTGATGTGCTCTGACTAAAGTCGCTGGCAAACTGGAATGACCAAGCCATTCGTTTAAGCAATGAAAACACTCGTTAGTCATGACCCCGGATCTTCGAAATCTTTCGTGTAGTCTCTCGTCGATAGTGAGCTGCCTCAAGACTTCAGAGTACTCTTGTCAACAAATTCAAGCGCGTAATTTAGGACTTCCTCCCAGCCTTGCTGATTCACAATACCATGCTGCAAGATACAATGTCAGATAATGTTTCTTCATGGACGAAAATAATTGCAAAGATACGGTGTCAAAGAAAAGAAAATTGCATAATGGCTTGCAAGCAGCCAAGACTAATTGCGCATCATCAGTCTGGAATATGCTTACTGTACGTCCCTCAAATTGCTTGTACTCGACTAACCCGCTACCCTTTTTGTACGCTTCAAACTCCTTCTCCACCGTGCTGGGCGGCACAACATGGTCTCGGGACCCAGAGATAAGAAGTAGTGGCGCGCGGTTGTTTTTGTCAAACTCAACATGTGTAACTCCCTTGGGATGTATGACACTGCCTAACGCTCCCTGCCAGAGAACATGGGCTATGCTCGGAATCGAGTACCGCTCGTACAGGATCTTGCTTTCGTCCTTTGGCAGGTGGTTACCGAAGCAATAGTGAAATTCGGATTCGGAGATCTTGACGGTGCTTGCATAGTCAAATGGGTTAGAAAGTACTGGGAAGGCTACCTTCACCGTGCTAAGCGGCAATGCGAATATGCCAGCAGGATTTACTGGGCAGATGCCTATGCCAACAGATCCCAGGCCATGGGATAAGAGGATCTGTACAAACAGCCCGCCAAAACTGTGGCCCATGATGATTGGAGGCTTCGGTAACCCTTTAATGATGGTTGTGTAATGGTCGACGATATCATCAATACTCTTGTTAGCCATTGGCTTTGGGTCATCACGGATTTGTTGAGGTGTGCGGTCATCGACACCGGGCCAGCCAGGGGCAAGGACTTCATAACCCTTGGCTTGGAGAAAGCCGATCCAATCTTCCCAGCAGAGGGGCGTCATCCAGAGCCCATGTATGAGAAGGACGGTGCTCTTTGAGCTGGATGCTTCAGACATTGTGGAAATACTGGGCTTGTTTCCGCCGATCAATGATGAGTAGAGTATAATTGAGTAGACCAACTCTCTAGAAAAGACGCGTGCGAAGAAGCAGAGATTATATACATGCAAAAAGGACGTGTGCTTGCGTCCTTTATGTATCAGGTCTCCATGTCTACCTTGCACCAGTGATAAGAAGCCAGATCAACGCAAAACGGCATTCCATCTCACGGAGGTGGCACGCTTCAGAATCATTTATCAATGACATTACTTCAATTAGAATTTGGAGTGATGCTCCTAAGGGGGCGGCCGCAGCCCGGTGTGTGTTACACAACAGTATCGCCGAACGCCGCCGTGTTCGCCGGGCCCAATGGGGCGTCAATCCCGGCGGCGTGATTTATCTAAGATTGAAAGCTGCCCAAGCTCCAAGACGCCTCTCATACTAGACTTAGATTCCCGCAGTTCCCAAGACTTTGCCATGCAATGTCGTGAGTAAGCAAACCGTCTCTTGTATGTCTCAATATTGCTCAGTCAGCCATCTCAGATGCTGTTATCGCATGCCGCGAGCGAATTATAACTCTTCACAAGCGCCTCAAACGCCTCGGCAGCATTTCTGGCAGATTTACCGTATTCGTTCCCCTTTCATATAGCCTTCGACAGAGCATTCGATATAAATGCCTTTTGCCGCTAAATAACAAGATCGAGGAATGATATTAAGTTCTGCATCATGAGAAGCACAACCCTAACTGGTAAACTGCGAAGCTCAGTTTCGAAGAGGTTGGACAGAGAGTAGATCTAAATCTAAAGCTATGAAAAGGACTAATCTAGTAACCTGTTGTATAGACGATCGGCATCTCTCAGAGACGGATATTCAGTGATTCTTCCTTTGGACTTCCGAAACCAGTCCATCCGTGCCATTGTAACTTAAGCTTCCAAGCCGCATTGAGGAAATATTCATGCTTGTCTGGAAATCCTTTCGCAAGCTCTAATA